ATGTTTGCTTGACTTTCTATCTATTATTTAAAATTTAAATAATTTACTATTTTACTAACTATTTCGAAATTCGTGTTTTTGATAGACTTCAGTGGGCAATTTCTGTTCAGGGGACGTGGTAATTCAATCATGTGAAATCGGGGACACATGAGAAAACCAGTTGAAAACCGTTGCATTAATTCGAAAAAAATATATTAATAGCTTGCCATGACATTTCTCAACCGTTTCAAATTATGCACATTCGCAATCACATGCTGTACCATTGAAGCTTGTTATCCACTTCAACCTTATAGTTCCAAAAGGTACATGTAGCTTATCGCTCAACCTCCTTCCCGGTTCTGAGCTGTAAGGTTGTCCACTGATAACATGGACATAATCACAAGACTATGCTAGTACGGTACAATACAGTTGAAGTGGCAAATATGCTTTAAAGTTCCTATCTACACCGTATCATATACTGTATCATACAGTATTAATAGATTCGTGTCATCTTTTAGAATTTTTGATACTTGAAAATGTCATATCTCGTTACCATTATCCATCAATTCTTGATCTTAAAATGGGAACTCAGATCCACAGTGACTCAAAAACCAGCGAAGAAGAAATGAAAAGAAGGAGAAGCAAATGGGAAAGAACTACCGCAAGGACACTTGGTGTTCGTTTAGGAGGAATGAAGGTATAATCCATTTTCGACGTGCATGCCGGTCTCCCTCCCAGGATTTTTCTGCATCATAGAGTCAACAAATTGGGGCTACTGAATGAATGAACTATCAATTGTTTTATGTACCAGTTTTCGCATGCAGTAATTTGTAAGGCATCAGTGATCACCAATTTTGAATATACACACATGCAAGCACACGCAGTGCGTATATACTGTATTATATATAAAAAATATAGTTCATGTTGAAACAATGTCTGGGAAATATACAGTCGTTTGATTAAAAGGCGAGGAGTTGCTGAATGCATGTAGTTTTAGTTATTTTATTAACAATTAAAACTACTCAGACATACGTTGTTATATACTCATCAGAATTTCATGTCCATTATCTTCAAACAATTAAGTGTTCCCGTTGGTTCATTCAACGTTAGTTTTAGTTTGCTTACACGTGCTCTTCTCGTGTACTTCTGGCGTGATTGGTTGCGCGCGTTTATTTTCGCGCTGCTATACCTTGCTACCAGAAATGCTTTTCAGTTGTAGCACTTCGAGAAAACTCCAGTTCTCTTGTTGAGAATTATGTTCTTATTTGCCGTCAAAGTGAAAAGTTAATTCTTGTTGTTACAAAGATTACAGTTTTTGCCCCCGATTTATACGCTGATGCCGTGATGCGTACTTTAAAATAGACCACTTAGTTCTGTATGGACGGTCGTTTTCCTTCACATATTACACGTACGTAGACAACACCGTCTCATCGTAGATATTATAGAGATTCAGATTTGACTTCCACTACCGCTACCATTAAAGGATCATTAACCAATCAGATGCGTTTGATGTATCCGATTAATCAATCAGATGCGTACTAAGCACGCAGTGAGAGGTAGCGGTAGTGGAAGTCATATCTGAACCTCTCTAATGTTGTTGAACGACTTCTGGTAGTTTCCGGATCGCTCTTTAAACGTGTTTGCCGTTATGCCAATGTATTGTTTTACAGTGCCTTCAGCATGATAAACCAGGTCTCATGATAAACCAGGTTTTATGGTCTCATTGTTTTCAGTGCCGTAGCCAGAACGATAATTGGGAGGGGGGGGCACATATTCATATATTCGTGTTCTGCTTTATTAATCTCTTTTGAAATCAATTGTTTTTATGGTATGTGAACACGAATATATGAATATGTGCCCCCCCCCCCCAATTATCGTTCTGGCTACGGCACTGATTGTTTTGCTAAGATCTTGGCTTTTGTCTAGATATGGTCGATTTGACATTTTTCATACAACTATACATGTATATATAGCTTATTTTTATAGAACTCCTGTTGACAATTTTATGGAGTGGAAACACCTTATAGGAAAGTGGTGTCAAGGAGGCGTAGAAAATCTTTCCAGACATTCGTTTTGACATTCGTACAAAATGGTGGAGTAAACCATGTTTATTGCTCGGTTTCTTCCTGACGTGTATGGGTGTCAGAGTGAGCTGCATAATCTAGCTTGTATTGGTTATTTCTCCGGTTAAGGGCCTTTTCGCGAGAGATGTTTCGAATGATTGTTTGCTGGATGAAAGTCGTGAGTTTTTTGTTGATTGATATATACAGCTCGTTGTGTTATGGTCGAAGGTGGATGTTGGGGTATAGTTTTCGATATTCTAGCAAATGTACGGTTTGATGTTTATTTTAAGTTTATTTTATAAATTTCACTCAAATTTCGATCAACACATCGCGATTATTTAACACACACGTTCTCTTCTGATTAAATGTACAGAAGTGTGCCATCAAACCGCATATTTCCAAGACATCACTTTTAACCTTGCTGGCGGTAGTTACCAACCCTACAGAAAACTGAACAACGACCCACTACTAGGGTTGGGCGATATTTCGATATTTTGATTTATCGCGATATTTTCAATCGCGATTATCGTATCGAAGGTAGAAACTTGAGGGACGATATATCGAAATTATCGTCATGCTCAATGACTATCGTGATATTGTTTCGCATGTGCATATAGCTGTTATATAATCGTAAAAAGATCATTCAATTGCTAGAAAATATAGTTTTTAAAAGAATTAAAACTATTTCCTGAATTAAATACGAATTTAATACGATACAAAAGCTAACTGATATTTATGTATTAATCTGCTGATTGCCTGCGCTGTGTGCCCACGGCATTGTGCCAGCGGCGACACAGTAGACACCATTGAACTAGACACTGCATGGACAGTTATTATATTAATAGACTAAAAAAGCCTTCATATTATCTTATATGTAAGCTTACTATGCTTTGATACTAATTAAAATTGAAAAAATGTGGTCATTGTTTTTGTTGCATTTATCGCGATATTATCGAATATCGTGATAATTTCCTTGACAATAATCGTGAGATGATTTTTTTAATATCGCCCAACCCTACCCACTACTTTACAAATCAACAACTATTCCAACCATCTACCTTCGATTATTACACGTCAACTACCTGTACAAAAACAAAAGACTCGGGACTTTCATCCAGAGACAATCATTCGAAACATCTGCATCTCTCTACGAATAGGCCCTTAAGCTGGATTATACAGCTCACCATAACACCCCAAACACGTATGGATTAATCCATCAGATAGTAGTAAGAATGGCAGAACGAATATCGGTAAATATTTTCTACGCCTCCTTGACACCCACTTTCCTAAGTCGCCTCCACTCCATAAAATCTTCAACAGGAACATTATAAAAATAATCTAAATCAATCAATCAATCACAAAACAATATTGCACGTCTATGGTCGGCACAGACGACGTCGAATTGCGCCATAATATAATCACACTGAATTTTATGAGAGGTGATTACCGCTATAATTCAACATGTATATTATGCAATTCAATTACGCATTTCACTATGACACTCCGAACTATTGCTAATTTCTGATCCATTGACTTTCTTAACCAAAATTTAATCAGTTTGTCCTTGGCCAACGTCCATTAGTCCCACAAATTAACGAACTACAGTATTACAATTTATTGAATATTTTGACTCGAATCGTTGTGTCATCCTGATATAAACCCTGGTTAAACCGTTCAACCCTTGTGCAGTTTTCTTCTTGTTTTACATGTAGAATTTCGTTACTCTGCAGGTATATCATGTTGACTGTGGA